TGAGGCAGGAGGTGCGTTCCTCTACCTGGTCCGGAAGCGGACGCATGTAGTCAAAGCGGTAGATACAGCCGCGTCCAACAACCATTGCCCGTGCCCAATTGCCCATTGCGGGTGTAGACCCCAAGCCTTCGTCAGGCCCAAGCGAATCGGATCTGGAATAGGAAGGCGAACGTCTGCAGTCTGGGGTGCAGCCCAGCTGAGAAGGGATTAGGGAAAGAAATAAGGAGAAGCAAACGACAAATTCTAATCAAGCAGGGTGCTTAGGTCATAATACTGGTGAAAGCGTGTTGTCAAAATATGTCTAGTTTTACAGATCCAAAATGGAAGTGGATACCTGTAATGGTAGAACATCAAATGATAGAGTAGACACAGCTACCTGGTTAGCATGTGCCAAGGAGCTGAGCCAATGGAGTCGGATGAAAACCTAATCAGATATATATAAAGTAAGGCGAGATGGGTCACAATACTTATAAAAGTATGTACCAAATTAGGCTTGTGCTCCACAGATGTAAGAAATGAAAACGTGTAAATATGTCGATTGGTTTGCGTTATCTAGAACTGAGTTAAATCAGGGAAGTGAAATGAAAACTGCGCATACTGGATGCGGCAAAGACGTCAAGCGTTGATCGTGTGGAGTTCAAAAGACACAAAAACTGGATGAGTGGAGTTGTTTTGAAGGATATTTTGTGTGTGCTGGAAGATTTGTGTTCGAAAAAATGTTTATATAAAGTCCTGTCGATACGACTAGCTTCTGAGTGAAATCAACGTTTGGGCGAGGGTTATCGGGTCAAGACGGAGAGGAGAGGTTTCAGGCCTCACCAGGTCTCCTATCATCCATCAAAAAACAAGGGGCGTTTTGGTCGCTGCTTTCGGGCCTGCAACTCAACATTGAGTTTGTTTAGTGAAACGGTCCAATCGATGGAAGATTTCATAGAGTTCAGCTTTTGTTTTTTCGGTTTACTTCAGTTTTCTTCAACGGTGAGTATCATACCGATCCGACAGGAATCGCCGTTGGTCTTACAGTAGAAGATCTCTGAAATAGAAGCCGGAAGTGCAAAACCGTCTAGGTTTGTTTTCTAACTGATGAGTTGGGGAGGGAAGGGAGCAAGCATGCATGTTATCGCGCAATTTACTGCTAGAACTTCAGAACCGTCGCGAAAATGGACTGATAAATTGAACCAAGAGAACGGTTTCGACAAATGACCATTAGAGAGAACTAGCGATGAAAACACAAACGGCAATGCTGACATTCGTAGAGCGTACAATACAGACAAATCGACGAAAAAATGTATACGAAAAAAGGTGAAAAGAGAAGGGCAAGAAAGGACCTGGCTGAAGTTTAGAGACATTCAGCAGGCAAGATACCAGAAGGAAGACGATCAAGTGGTTAAGAGCTTGTGAGTTCAGGAAACAAGGTTATACGAAGGACATTTTAGTCGAAGTAGCACCGACACCTTTTGAGCGGAAATGCTCAAACGGGGTTCCTAAACCTTAACTGAAATAAAAATAGTGATTCTGATTTGGCTGTGAAGCGACGAAACAGATTCGTCTAAGACAAGAAGCACAGGAAGCAAAGGTGAAAATATAAGATCAAGAGAGAACCTGGCTGAAGTCTAGAGACATTCAGCAGGTAAGTTCTATAGTCTGGGTCTGTTGGACCTCTCCAGGTAGGATAACCAAATCTCTATCCTCCCTGAGTAAACTTCCGAAGTATCTCCCTATTACCATGGCCTCCTTCTGGTCATTTGTGACTATTTTATCATTTTCCAGGTTAATGGCGCCTATTTCATCCTTAAGCACCCTCATGGACTGCACGTAACTATACTACCTCTTCGGCTTTGCCTTCGCATTTTCAGATGGATTTAGCTCTTATTTTCGCTTTTCGCTTCGAACAAAGCCAACAACCTCGTTCCTGTATTCTATCTAACGCATTCACGACAGCTGCAAATTCTACCTCCCGGTATCGTTGCCAGCTGGCGTTACGACGGCGTATTATCTTTCCAATCGAAGCCTACCACCAAGGTGGTTTACCGAATGACTTTTGCAGTTTCAGAGGCGTGAACGCATCCTGTGATGCAGGTAACTTCTCGTTAATTAATCTATACACATCTTCCACTACAAACGTATCCTCGGATTGCTGCCAGACGAGCTCAGCTGCCTTCCTTTGCAGTCCATTAACATCTAATTTTACAAAGCAGCGATTCATGCGTCTATGTGGCTTCGGTAGCCTTGTTTCTAGTGTAAACTTAATGATCTCGTGGTTGCTCTTTCCCATTGTAAGATAGTAGCTCAATTCTTGCACATCTTTATCGTACCGCGCAATAACAAGGCCCAGCAGAGACGGTTGTTGTCCTGACTTAAAACGCGCGTTTTCTGTTACGTGTTGGTGCATGGCTTTGAGATGCACCCAATCTGCAAAGCCCTGCTCCTGCACATCGTTCGAATAATGACCGGTGTCCCATTTTATACCTGGTAGTTTGAAATCCCCCAGAATCACACGCTTTTGAGGCGTAAATACCAGGATATCTACTGCTGATCGACGCTGCTCGTCCTCTGTTGCCATAGAAACCGGGCACCTGTATTCAGATGCTAAACATATGCTACATTATGGAACAGCCTCCCGCTGAAGGTTGTTGACGCAATTTCAAAGAGTATGTTTAAAAAAAAGCTCGAAATTTTCCTTGTTAGTAAACACGCGACCACCAACTCTCATTAGTTGCTCCCTCTGGATCTGTTCATTCATCTCTCCATCCACCGTGTTCTCGTTTCAAATGCATTTATCCCAACTGCATTGAGTCATAAACTTTGTTCATGTTGTGTATTTTCGGCAGGCGAAAAAAACCGAAAACCAAAACGTACATAAATAAAGAAAAACGTTTTGAGAACAAAGTGTCATAAATTTCCTTCGTTGCTCAAGGCGTGCATTATATGAATTTCCTTACGAGCATGTAAGAATGTGTTCAATATCCAGGTGCGCATATGCGTGTACTGTCAGTGTATCCCCGCGACTAACGTACCGTTGAAGGAACTAGGTTACCCCGAGCTATTAGGTATAGATCGCAAACGTACGTTCGTACGAGAAGAATATGAGGCGGTTCACGAAACGGAGGACGACGTATATTGTAAAAACCCACAGATCAAGGGAGAGATACAGGGGCCTAAGCAAGCGTGCGGGAAGCTAAAGCAAACACGTGCTGAACAAAGAGGTGGCCTTGGTGTGAAAAAAATGAGATGCACAAGAGGAAACGTACATTGACAACGGGATGTGAATGGTTACCACACCGTGCTCAACAACCTCGTCAGCAGGCACAACCCATCAATCGCTAACGGAAGAACAAACAACCGGGAAAATTGGGCTTAACAATAAACACGAGAAAACATTCAAGACCTCAAGACATCGCCTGGCGTGACTGTACAGTTGTTGATTTTGCGTTTCGATGTTTGACGTTCAACTTACGACCGGTTTGACATGCAGCTGCTGTTGCTAGATCCTACAATAGTATTCTTTTAATTCCATGTAAGTCGTATTGGACCATGTCCGCATGTAACTCCCAAATAGATCAACGAGCGACGCGTAGCCGAAATTGGATCCCAAAGCGTCAATAAAACAATGATCCGGCTAATGATCCGGTACTGCATTATTAAACGATCGAATAAGCAAATAAAACCTGTACAAACCTCAGTGATCTCGAAACAACTTGAAAACAAGAGCCAAGTGTTACTGTGAGCGTAATTCAACAAATCTGAATGGANCACGCTCACCGTCACGCTGCACACGAACGAGTCAAATGTAAGCGCTCAGGTCGCGATCAAAACAAGTAAGATAAAAATTGAAGCAGATAAACAAACAAAGTCAAATGGCAGGATTGATGTGTAAATATACAAGGGGAGTGGAACGTCAAATGTCTATATGTATGTGAGGTGGAT